TGGATTTATGCTGGAATCTTTGTTCTTCTGTTTGGCAACAACAGTTTCCATTTTATTTTAACAAAAGGTAAAGGAAGTTGTACTTAGATTGTGTTTTGTTTTGTTTTAATTTCTATGACTAACATGTCAAAATGATTGGCATACCCATTGGAAAAGCATTTTTCATCCAAAAGCTGTTCCATCAAAATTAATTGCCCTAACTGCCTATGTACTAGAAATTCAGTGCCATAAAACAAATTTTCTTTCTTCTTTTTTGTGTAAACCCATCTGGTTGTTTATTAATCCATTCTGAGACCTAGATAAAACTGTTTGTGTATCTCAATGACAAAGTAATTGTGTCCTTTGAATTCGTTGTCCACAAGGATGTAATTATTTAATTTATTTCCAAGACTGATGGAGGATTTTGTTAGAGTTCCATAATCCTTTTTCTAGAAATTTACCAGATAGACTATATCACATAACTGACTTATTCAGAACTTCCATAAAGAAAAAGAGAGAGAATTGTGGTTCCCAATGACAGAGATGCTGGTTAAGTGATTCGTGCTTCTTACACTGTTTCTTCAGTGGAATTTCTGAAGGATAATCAAGTCCAGACTAACAAATTCAAATCTGAACCCTGGAAAGTTTAAAAGATATGCAGGGGCTCATCTCTAGAGCAATGCTATTGGTTCAAATCACCTTTATGGAAATTCCAATTAATTCTAAGAGAATATTATTTTTCTCTTTATCTCTGTTTTCTTATCATTTTACCCAAGCTTCACAACGGACTAGTGTAGTCAAGAAAATATATCTTTGAACCTCTGTTTAAAATTGTTGAACTTCTGTCCTAGCTTCCAATAGATCGTTTCGTTATAAATTATAGCCCCCTCTTCTTTTATTCCCCCTCATTAGTGAATAGAAGGAGAAATTCTATCTTTAAAAAGTTTTGTTATTTCTCCTCTCTAAATTTGTTGGCTATTTTACTACAAATCTCCCATCCCTTTTCTCAGCAAGTTAGCTTCCCTTAGTTTGTACAGAGAACAAAAACCCACATTTCTTTTTCTAGCACCACATTTCTTTTCTTAAATGGAACTGTTTATTTCACTTCATTTTTTACTGTTATAATACTTAATAACAGTAGGCTAATTGTATATGCTAGAGATAGGCTTGTTAACCGTGCTATTCTTCCCATGTGTAACTGAATATAAATTGTTCCATAAGTGTAAAAGAGTGAGTTCATGTGCTATTCCCTTTTAGAATTAGCTAAAACCCTAGGGAAATCACTGGAATACTTTGATTCTCGTGTGTTTCTATTCAGAAACTAATTGCCCTATTAAATAATACATTTTATGTATGAAATACAGTATTGACATTTTTTAAAAAAATGTTTACATGTATTCTGGAATGTTATTAAATTTAATCATGTATATGAAGAACAGCTGTGTTAACAGCATGTTTGCAATATTTTTAACATTCTTGTTCTTGTATCAAATCCTTTTTTGTTCTTCTAAATTAAGACATAACTCCTAAACTGTCTATGTAAGATCATTGCTAGGTTCAATACTAGCTCCAAGTTACAAACTTGGTTTTTCAGGAGAAACGGCATCAAAAAGAGCCCATAAATTCAATGGCTGCTCACATGTATGCACAGACCAATAAAGTCTTGTTTTATTTGTACTGAGTTTAAACTTAGTTTCTTATATCTAATTTTTGACTGAGTCCTGACAAAGTTCAGAGGTACAGGCACCTTTGATATTAATTGAAAAAGAAATACAAAGTTGAAACTGAAGTTTGCACTTTGGACCATATTCCAAAATTTTTAAACATTTTGAGTGCTCACTAGAGTAGAAAAGTAAGTTATAAATTGATTAAGTGATGAAATTAAATTCAGTTATTGTGGCTACTCCACATATATTTGATGATTATTCACTTCTGCCGCATGAAAAATTACAATTTGGCAGTAACATTTTCAGTACTTCTGGGAAAATGCACTGAAGGTTCAGAATCTATAGTATCTTGCTAAGCAGTAGCCTGTTTAGTAGTAGAATGACTTTCTTGGAATGTTCAGCCAAAACTGCCAAGCAACTCTAAACTAGTGCTTCCAGTCTGAAATCAGCCAAACATCTCAGAAAAAAGATGCTGTGATTCATGAGGCTAGAAACACAACAGAAATGTCAATTTTTCTCCTTGACAGGCCTGAACTTGGCCGAAGCTTCCCAGACTCTCAATAAGATTAATAATTAATCTTTATTGTACAATTTAACTAAAACCGCTTCAGACAGTTGATTGCCTCCTAGCAATTAAGAATGCTGTCCACGTCGTGTGTCATCTTAATTTTCAACCTGGAGCCTTTTCCTCTTGCTGTTTGCACAGCTTGATGGAAATACTATTTTACACTTAACATACACTGCGGTAGGTGGTAGTTGATTACTGACATTTCAGCATTCCTGCTCTGAGACACTGTAACTCTCATCATAGGTCCCACTCTGAGAGAGTACAGTTGCTCACCTATATCCTTATGCATACTGCCATCTAATCAACTCTGTCAAAGCCAGGTATGTCCCACATATATTTCAGACAACATTATTCTGCCCTACCTCTGCTGCTTCTGTGGCCATTCCAATAGTAAATGTTAAATTGTCAAGTTTCTAAAGTGTAATGCAAACTGATAGACATGTATAGATAATAGAGGTAGGGACAACAAAAGGTGTAGCCAACACATTATTATTTTACAAGTAAAACATGGGTGAATGTACTGTACCACATCAGTGATAATTTTAAAGTGGCTCTTGTCTTAACTCACTAGCAGCAGTTGTTATATTTCCTCAGAATGTATAAAAGGATAAGTAGGACAGGAGAGAAATATAAATATGAGTGGGTGAAGACTGGATCCAGATGTAAGCCACCCAGAGTTGCCTTAAACTGTAAAATGGGCAGCATATAAATTAAACAAATAAATATATGTAAATTACATACAAAGCAGGCAAAAGTTCTCATTTGAAAATGACAGTTAAAAAAAAAGAATTGATACCTTGCTATATGTTAGAATGGTATCACCGAAACATGCAAATTATGAACATTTTTGAAAGAACTGAAGGGGAGGCAGATGGTCCCATTGGATATCCCAGCAATCTGATTATTCACTTTTCCTCAGTCTTCATCAGCCTAAATGAGCACAGTGGTAAACTAACAATCTGTGACTTCTAACATGCAGGCAAGCAGTGTGACCATTTTCACAGCCTTATTAGACTCTGCTAGAATTAAATAGAGGGACCCCGTAAATCAATTCACTTATTACCAAACTGAGTCATAAAATATAAGTCAGTCTGAAGCCTCTCTTTAGCACTGAAAGGGTCAGCCAGGGTTCCAATCCAATCCAAAGTCAAGACTTTAAGGGGAGAGGCATAGATAGCAAGCAAAGCCAGTACTGAGGTCCAGGAATCATATCTGAAATAAGAGATCCACACCACTAAAAATTGAGCATCATCAAAATTCCTCCAGCAAAGCTTTAGCCTTCTGGGCAGCTTCTTATACCATAGTCTTCCAAATTCCTCACACAGCCTTGTTTTTGCTGGACTCCAATCTTGCAATTCTTCATGTCCCATCTGCAGCTGTTTTCTGTAGGTAGATATACTCACTTTCTGTATTTTTAGGACACTTGGTGGCCTTGTCTCTATGTCCAGATATTATGTTAATCCTTAGAAAAGTTGGGTTATGGAGCCTACATTGAGACTTTCTATGTTCATACGTCTATGTCTATTGTGTATATCATATATCAGCATGGTCTTGCAATAAGGATTAACTTGCTTCTTGACAACCATTAGCAAGCTGAAAAGAATCTATATTTTCCCATTTTTATCCCCTATCCTTATGTAATAGCTTGACATTATTATCAACTTTTAGAAAAGCAGTGAATACTGAACAATTCCAGAAATCATTAATTTATAATGTTCCTGGAAGGGGATGCCGAGGAAATATTGTTGATAATTTTAATGAAGATTTTGCCATTTTATATTTTATGGCCAGATGCAAACCATGAAGAAACCATGGGGAACTGATTGTATCCAAATAATGTAACAAACAAGCCCATTTTAATTTGGGAAGAGCTACTGCTTTCTATCAGTGTTGTTTCCATATATACTGTATATGGTTTTAAAATAAGACTGAGAGTTTTTTTTCCCCCTTCTAGTCTTTTTTTCTAATAGCAGGATTAGAATATTCCATACATAGTACATATAGAATTTAACTATATCTAAGTATGTCTGTCTGCTTGGCTGTTGTATAGATGCTGAACTATTTAGGGGGTTGTGTGAGAACTGTAAAATTAGCTTTAAAGTGAGGCAATATTTTTAACAAATTTAAGAAAAATTGTGCTTGGCTATATGATTATATCTGAAATGGAAAATTACTGATATAAATCAGTAGATGCCTTGGTATCTATATGTCAGCAAGACAATGTCCCTTTAGAGTGTCTTGACTTCATCTTTGGACAATTGAAGGAAATTCTCAGATCCTTATGCTGACTTCATAGGCAGAATATAGGCAGACAGAAGCTTTTGAAAGGTGTTCCCCCATCCTGTAACTTTCTGTTTCTATGGAAAAGATGCCACTGCTGAGCATAGGCCAAGCCACAATGAAATAATGTTGGTGTGTGCTGGCAAGATGAGTGTATATTTTATCTACATGGACAGCATGTCAGCCAGGCTGGTCATTATGCTGGCTTGTATCCAGAAAGGATATCTGCTTTAATTCCCTATCTCAAAACACACAATGGACATAGAAATACTGAGAAGAGGGAATAGACAAGAATGTGTTTGAAGCCAGAATCCACAGATGGTGACTTTATTTTCTGGCTTGCTCAATAGAAACAGACTGTCATGCAGATCATCCTTGGGCCTCATTAAACACTAACAGTGGCGACATGGTGGCTACTGAAAATATCATTTTCTAGTTGGGATTCCACGAAACTGCCATTTCATTTAGCTGTTTTAATCTATACAATTCTTCTGTCCTTCTCCCAGTGTTTTCTACATCCTGAAAAGGGACATTGGAAAATATTGCTCTTAGTGGTCAGAGCTGCATTATTAACCTTTTCTGTGCTATGATCATGGGAAAATGATTGGATTGATTCTTATCTTTAATGTCAGTCCAAAAAATGAATAACTGTTTATCAAAGCTGGTGGTTCTCCACTTGTCTTTTGTGAATATCAACAGCCATCTTCAGATGTATTTCTTGTGCCACTTGGTAACTCAGTTTGTGCCATCTTACTGCAAGAAACAAACCAACTAATGTACAGCATGGGTGCTGTTATAACTGAATGTATTGGATGAAAAATCAAGAAACCAGAAAAAAAGCCAGACAGTGCACCATCATGATGCAAGCATTATCTTTCATTACATGAGGATTGAGCAAAATATAGTCTATCAGCAGCTCAGTGACAAATCTTCATTAAAATACAAGTCATAATACAGGAGGAAAAGAAACTCACCTTGTGACCAGTGATTCTTGGTCCAATTGGTCCAAGCTTGATTATTTAAAGGGTATTAGTGTGCAATTATGACTACATAGTTTCACACATTAGTAGGTTGGAGATATTGTAATTAAAGCATAAACAGAATGAAATATTTGCATAAATTAAAGTTAATGCAACACCCTCCTCCCATTATTCTAGGAAGATTGGCTCCATTCAACATTTCATGCAATAAAAATATTTCCACACCTATGGAGACAGGTGATTTTTGTATTGTTACTAGATAATGTCTCGGTGAGGGAGGAAATATATTTTGAATAAAGTTTGAACCAATCAATCCAAAACTGAAGAATATGGAAGGGAGGAGGAGCATAAATATTTTGCATAAATATGGAAGAAGGAAGATAGAATAAATATTTTGCATTATAAATGTTAGAGATCTGTGACTTTATTTCCTTAATGCAGTGAGCATAGCGTTATTGTATTATGTTTTAGTACAATAATTGTTATTATGTATTACCAATTAACCCATAACCACAGACCTGCGATCATAGTGACCGCAACAGTTTTTAAAAATGTTTGGAACACCCCTATTTTTAGAAATGGACCATTCGGGTTGTGAATAGCTGTTGTGGTCCACCAGCAGCCTGCGGAGCTAGCAGCAGAGTCAGACAGTGATGAGGCTGGGGAGGACCATGCGCTAGTCCTGGAGTCTGGGGAAGGTCCAGACAAAGGCTCTTTGTCAGAGGCAGAGATGGGGCCAGGACCATCTGGGAGTGATGCGTAGACTCCGCAGCCTGCAGAGTCGGACAACAGAGAGGCAGAGGAACAGGAGGAACCTGTTCCTAATGCACGCATGCACAGAGCTGCCAGAAGGCAAGAGCAGCTAAAGCAAAAGGGATGACTCGGGAGTAAGGCCAGGAGATGATTGGCCCCTCCCATAAGGCTTAAAAGAGCAGCAAAGGCTCTTGGGCTCTTTGAAGGAAAGCAATGTTGTTAAATCTGTTTCCAGTGGGCGTCTCTTGTTTCTGAACTTCATGGGGCTTTGCCAAGAAAGGCCTTTGGCAGAGTGCCAAAGAAAATACAGGTTTGTGATAAGCCAGAAGGACTTTTTCTGAAGGACTTGTTTTGGAATTAATTTGGACTAAGCTGGGAATAAAGTAATTCTCAGCTGTTATAATAAAATAGTTTTGTTTGGGACTAATTGTGTCTTGTAACGACTAAGTGAGCCTAGGTCACAACAATAGCTTTTGTTTTCCTGCCAATAAGAATGTATGTAGCATCACGCTTTCATAAGTTATTTGCTGTTTTCTGTAGTGGTGTTTGAATTTGAATTGTGGTCATTTTGACCACAGATCTTTGTTAACGTATATATTTTTTATAATGTCAGGGCCACGTTTTCTGCCAAAAAGAGTGTGATTTGGTGACCCAAACTTTGAAGAAAGTATTCTAACATGGTATGAAGAAGCAGAGAGTAATTTGAGGGAGGTAGAATCAGATTGCAATGAAAATTTTGTAAAGGACGATGAGGAACCCACAGCCACCGCCGATTCTGACATCAGCGATGATGAAGCTCCTGATGAAATTGATGACCAGGTACAATCTATGTTGTGCAATAATTTATATGGCAAGAACAAATTCAAATGGTCTTCTGCACCTTTTGGAAGCAATAGATCCAGAACCACTAGTCACAATATTGTAGTGCAATTACCTGGACTATGGCCAGCAGCTAGAGTGGTCATTATGACCTCATGTCTGTAATAGCATAGCTGAAATAGTACGTCTGTGGTTAAGGGTTAATTAGAAATGGTTTTAAATATAAAAGTATATTGAAACTAAACATAAGAATATTAAATTGATATCCTTCTTGAAAAAGCACTGGGAGAAAGAAGTGCTCTTTCTGCAAAAAAATAGCCTCAAAATGAAACCTTCTTTCAGTTGTTTTCTTTCCGTCCAGGCCATCTGTGGCTTGACTGTGGCAGTGAAATCATTGTCTTTTTTGTAAGCTGAACTTTGTCATTCTGTCAGCCTGGGAGTGTGACCATTTGAAGGGCAAGACCAGGTCACTGCACCTGGAACATATTTGTATAAACAGACTTTTCCTGCTGTCTGTCCACACTTTGTGTCCTTGATCCCACCTACGATCTCTTTGAAATCAAGGGCAGCAATTCTGGAGGCAAAATAATCTGAAAGGATAAAGTATTAATGGTTTTTTTTTCGGTACACTAACCTGGAAATACTAACCTCTTCATCAATATATTGCAGTCCCCACTGTGCATTCATCAATATATTGTATCCTCCTCTGTGAATTCAAGATTCGATGTCATTTTGGTTCAAAAAAAGAAAAAGTGGGAAAGAAAAGAAAGAAAGGAAAAATAACTAATAAGAGCCTTGTTAGTACAGTGGTCTAAAGCACCCTGTTATTAAGAACAGCTGCCTGCAATTACTGCAGGTTCGAATCTTGCCAAGGCTCAAGGTTGACTCAGCCTTCCATCCTTTCTAAGGTAGGTAAATTGAGGACCCAGTTGTGGGGGCAATAAACTGACTTTGTAGAAAAATACAAAAGAATGAAGGCTATTGCTTAGTGCATTGTAAGCCACCCTGAGTCTCTGGAGAAGGGCAGCATATAAATCAAATTAAAAAAAATAAAACAAAACAAAACAAAACAAAACTATGAATTATTCATGTAAAGATTTTCTCATACATGCTATTTATCTATTTACTTATATCTATCTATCTATCTATCTATCTATCTATCTATCTATCTATCTATCTATCTATCTATCATCTTTACAGATCACCCATCTCCCTCACAGAATGACTCTGGGCAGCGTACAAATAGACATAATACCCTGTTTTCCTGAAAACAAGACCCAACCGGAAAATAAGCCCTAGCATGATTTTTCAGGATGTAATATAAACCCTACCCGCAAAATAAGCCCCAGTTAGGATTGCCATCCAGATGGTGCATTTCATACTGTATTTTCCCTAAAATAAGACCTAACCAGAAAATAAGCCCTAATGCATCTTTTGGAGCAAAAACTAATATAAGACCTGGTCTTATTTTTGGGGAAACACGTTACATAAAAGCTTTATATAACATGTATTCTAATAGTATCCAGAAGTCATTTTTCATTTCTCTATTCCTATTTATGCACTAACTTATACAGAATATTTTACTTAAGCCTTCAACACTGATTTTTAAAAATATAAAAATACTTCCTCCTCAGGGTGACCATGGAATGCTAGGACAGTGAATAACATGCTTTCATTTGTCTTTGTTGTGTGAAATGCTTCTCTCTTTGAGTACTTCCATCATGGCTGGATTCATCTTAGGAAAACATATCTGGTGCATTATACAGATCCCCTGCCTAGACAGCAAAGTGTAAATGTTGATCATTCATTGAATTGTTCTTTAGCCTTGGGATTTTTCTTAGTGCTTGCCCATTCAAAAACATCTCTGATTTATTCTGCTGTGCACATATCCTTGAGCATAATCAAGAACCAGTGTGATACGTTCATGGGTGCTTAGTTTCCAAGGATTGTAGAACTGGATACTACCAATAAATTCCAGACAAAATAGGCACAAAGTTCAGTCTGAAACCAATATTTTAATAATATTATGGAGCCATGGGAAGGAGAACATTAAAGGAAATATGAAATAATTTTCTTTAGTTTTTTTATCCCTCGGATATATAAAATCTACACCCTGCAGAGTCACTGTTGGTGTTTAATTGAAAGCCTGCAAGCAAACCATTACAATGCTATTATTCCATCAAGTCAAGAAAAAGCACAGTGGGTAAAACCAAGTTGTAAGCAAAGTTGTCATACCCTAGTTTGACAGTCACTTCCCAGAAAGTCTTTTGTGCAGACCTCATCTCTTATCTATTTAATCATCACAGCAACCACAGCATGCCAAACTTGAACAACTGAGCCTGATGATTAGGAAGCAGTTCAACCATGAAGTAAACATTCACTATTTACAAGATAACTAGAAATTTCGCTGGAAGGAATGTCCAGGAAGGAGTCCATTATGTTTGTTAAAAATAAAGTAATGGTGGCAATGGGAAAAACACTATTTTTTCTATTGAAGTTTTTGTTATGGATGTTGTTGCTTCCATAATAATAACAGTAACATATGGAAGAAGATCACTATGAATACCTGGGAATCCTTCAATCTGACATCATCAAACATGTTGAAGTCAAGAAAGTTAAAAGTGAATACATCATAAGAGTGAAGATTATTCTAAAATCCAAACTCAGTGGAAGAAATGCCAACAAGGCAATTAACATTGGGAGAATTTTGAATGGGGGGGGATCTACCATTGTTGCTACTTTGTCATCTCATTGTTTGTAATCAGTTTGTGTGATCTTCTTGTGGCAGCCAACTTGGTGGCCCACTGATTCTTCAGCTTCTTTGCAGAGACATTATTTGCTCTCTCTTGTTATCTTCTTGGAGTTGTGAAATCAGAATTAGATCTTTGTCACTTTCTTCAACTTTCCTGCTCTTAGCCATTACAGGTCTTGTTATTATCTGATTTGCTGATAGGGTTTTGTTTTTGTTTTTTGTATTGGCTATGTAATACTTTGCCTTGCCATGTTTCTTTTCTATTTGGTCTTTCTTTTAAGCCGGTATGGTCTCTCCTGACCTTGGTAAACCTTTCTGGTATACCAGCTTCAGTGCATCTTCTTTATTGTCCTGCAAGTTTCACACTTTTTCCACACAAAATACCACATACAGCTTTGTGAGATTTTGTGTGTTTCTGTAGTTAGAATGAAACACTACAGAAACACACCAAATCTCAGAAAGCTGCACAAATATTTTATTATTTTATTTTATTTTATTTATATTTTTAGATAAAAGCAGCTAAATTTAAAACTTCCTTAACTTTAAATTGCTATGTCTAAAAAAAAAAATAAAACTTCTAAAAAAACCTCCAGTTAACTATTATTTTTAAAGCTCCAAAAAAACAAAAACAAAACCCAGTTACTTACCCAATTGAAGGCACAAGGCAGGCAGATTCAGTTGCTCACCAATGAGATTGATTGCAGGCAGGCAGATTCAGTTGCTAGCTGATGCAATTGATTGCAGGGATTGCAGCAAGGCGAAGAAAGGCCGGAAAAGCGAGCAAGCCGGAAAGAAGCAGTAAGCAGCCAAGCGGGCAAGTGGGCGACTGGGCGATTAGGTGGGCATGGGCGGGGGGGAGCAGGGATTTTTGCTACCAGTTCTCCGAACTACCCGCCGCCATCACTAACGGATCGGCCAATCTGGTCCGAACAGGGAGCATTTTACCCCGATCAAACTCCCATATCATTTTCTGAATATTTTCAGTTCAAAGAAAGCAATTACCATTACGAAAATTAGGGGCAAAGATAAACTTTATGAGGAACTAGTTGTTACTTTTCATATGGAACAATCCAGCAACTGTGAGTATATTTTATTACCTGAACATATAATACTAAAATTTCTAATCAGTATAAACATTAAGGATAATAAAAATTAAAGTCCATTTTTACCTCTTGTCAAGGGAAACAATGGAACAAAATATTTCAGCTCTTGTTTTGAAATCAATATGTGATATAGGATATCATTGTTCTTTGATAGTTGCCCTTTGCAAAAAATTCTATAATGCAATTTTTGAACATGTACATATAATATGCATATATTACATGGCAAAGTATATCTAATGCATACATATGCTTTTGCTCAATCTCAAAAATAACCCAAAATAGATGAAAAATATATCTCTACCTTTAATTGAGAGAGGGAAGGAGAAGATTACTTTTTGCTAAGATGAATAAGATAATTCATCTTATAAAGCCTGACTGTTCTTTGGAAGGATAGATACTGAAGCTGAAGGTCAAATACTTTGGCTACCAAATAAGAAGAGAGGAGTCATTAGAAAAGACCCTGATGTTGGGAAAGACTGAAGGCAAAAAGAAAAGGGATGGGAGAGGATAAAAGAGCCTTGGTGGCGCAGCAGACTAAAGTGCTGTTAAGTAGCACCAGCTGCCTAAAATTACTGCAAGTTCAAATCTCACCAAGCTCAAGGTTGACTCAGCCTTCCATCCTTTTGAGGTAGGTAAAATGAGGACTCAGATTGTGGGGGCAATAAGCTGACTTTGTATAAAAAAGAACATCGCTTAGGGGCCCCCGAAAGCCCTACTAAGCAGGTATATACAAAAGTATGAAGGCTATTGCTTAACGCATTGTAAGCCGCCCTGAGTCTCCGGAGAAGGGCGGCATATAAATCAAACCAATAAATAAATAAATAAATAAATAAATAAATAAATAAATAAATAAATAAATAAATAAAATGGTTAGATAGTGTCATCGATGCAATGAACATGAATTTGGGCAAACTCTGGGAGAAAATAGAAGATAGGGAGACTGGTATGATGTGGTCCATGGAGTTGCAAAAAGTAGAACATGGCTTACCAACTAACAATAACAACAATTCTACTGAAATCTATTTAGTTCCTTCTCTTACTCAATATTTGCTGTATTAGCCCAGTCCTAACTTCTATCCATTGGGAAGAAATATAATGGTGCCACCCACCAAATTTGACTGCTTCTTTTCAAGCAAAATGCCAGGCAAACCTCTCAATAAGCCTCAGTTTGAATTCTTAGCACTTCATAATCACTGTCATACTAAATATGGCCCTCACAGTATTTAAGGATACCCTGCTGTACTAAGTAGCAAGAATGTAAGCCAAATTTTCCTTTTTCCTTGCAGTCTCAATCCTCATCCACTGTTAGTAGCAAACATACAATTAAGTACAAAAATACATTCCAAGTCCAAGTCATGAACACATTCAAGCTATCAAGACTGAAATAAATACATCAATCGGTCTTTTTAATGTATTTCTTCCCTTCTGTTCCTCAGATTGATCAAGCTGTGACAGAGATCCAAGGACGATGCAGTCCCTCTGAGATAGCCATTTGTTGGTATCAAAGCAGGAACACAAGTGTCTTGTTCATGATGGGAAGCAAGGCAAGCTATGTTTTTGTAACCTTTTGCGCAGGAGGCTTTTTCTGTTGTTGTCATTCCATTCTTGTACACAGCCAGCCGCTGTGTATCTTGGCAGAATCAAGTCTGTTTCTGAGGGAAGAGAACTATTTCTGTCCTTTAATAAGTCATTCCAAGTTTCCTGTGATGTTATAAATAAGTGGGGCAAGCAGCCAGCTTTATTTTGTTTAATGTGATATGACAGAGAAAGAAAGCAGTCAAAAAACCCCATCAATCTCTACATGCTGTAATATCTGGTGCTAGACTCTGAGATTGCTTGCTCCCTTTCACAAGATAAAGTTTATCATAAACTCTGCCTATCAGCACAGCTGATACGAGACCTTGCCTTCACAGGTTTGTTTATTCAGGAGTCCTGTTCATAGTCAGGCCCAGCATGTTCTGTGCATGAAGTCATGCTGGGCTAAATTTGCTTCTGGAAGCTGGCAACTCCTCAGACAAACGTGAACAAATGAACTTGTCCTTCAGGAGAAAAGGAATAAAAGTACCCATGAAAGAAAGCTGAATAGCTCCACCAGTTTGCCATATGTCAACAAAGGCATCATATTTGGGCAGGACAGAACAAAAGACATTCTTTCAAAGCAGTAGTTCTCTAGAATAAAGGAATCATTTAAAAGAATTGATAAAATACAAAGGAAAAAAATGTGCATTTTTAGAAGAAGCGAATTATCCAATGCTATATTCCTGGAACATCAATACCCTGGTTTCCAACATAGTGCATATATATGTTTGTGTTCAGCAGCAAACCCCTTGGAATCTATCATCTTCCCTTTCCAACTACGGTATTATTTTGGATTCCTTGATGTTGTTACTGTTATTGGTCCGCTGTTCCATCAACAATATTGTGTCTCAAGACTAATAATGATAAACCTGGCTTCTATTAATCTATCTAATCCCATTTAAAATAAGTTACAGACATCCTACTTCTTGTGGCAATGAATTCCAAAGATTAATTAACTTTATGTATGCAATAGTACTTGATATGAAAAAATCCTGACCCTAAAATCCTGGCATTCTTGATGTCTTTTGTTTCTACTTCTTATTATGACACAAATAACATATACCTAAGATAACTCCTGGAAAGAAAGAAATGGGGAATGCTTAATTGTCTAGTGATGTTCTCTGGCTGTTAATCAACTTAAAACCCACTTTTTCCAGCAAGCCAGGCTGGTTTAAGAAGAAATTTTTAAAAGTTTTAAATTGGTTTGTGATTTTTAATTTTTGGGCCAAATTTTTATATATATTTTAATTATTTTTAATATTTGTATTTCATGTTCTTAATTCTGGCTGTACACTGCCCTGAGTCCTCAGGGAGAAGGGCGGTATATAAATTAGAAATAAAATAAAATAAAAATAAAACTCCCAAAGGTTTGTAATTGTTTTTTAGGTTTTTCTTCTTGATTTATGACCACAATTGAAACAAGAATCTTGGGTGTTGAAGCAAGAGATCATTAAGGAGGATTCCTACATGACTGCTCCATGTGATTGCCCCACCCAGAACTCCAGGTTGTGATCATTAAGTGATCACATGTGTCTTTTAGCAGGCTGTGTCTTGGTGGTACATGGTTAGAATGCAGTATTGCAGGCTAATTCTGACGACTGCCAGCAGTTCAATCCTGACCAGTTCAAGGTTGACTCAGCCTTCCATCCTTCTGAGGTTGGTAAAATGACGACTCAAATTTGGGGGGCAATATGCTAATCTGTTTAAAGAGGTCTGTAAAGTACTATGAAGTTGTATATAGGTGCTACTGCTATTGCTAAGTCTCATATAAGGAATATAGTGTCCCTGGGGAGTGGAAGAGGTCTTGGGAGGCTTCTCAGAAGCTGAAAACCCTCCCTGAGCCCCTCAGTTGAGAGTTGAGAGTGGCCTCAGTGGCCTACACTAGGCCTTGATGATCTCCCCCACCCTTGAGGCACACTATAGTCCATTCTACATGTAGACCATTCTGAGTCTCTGCTCATTTTAAATTTCCATCCATGAGGAAATCCTGAAAGAGTTGAATGCTAAAAGATTTCAGCTGCCCTTCATGCATGGAAGGGAACTCCTTTGGTGGGGTACAGGAAAGAAGCTGAAATCTTCAGGAATTCAGCTGCCTTTCTGCACTCTGCTGAAAGTTCAGCTCACTGCACCAGACAGCCTTTTCAGCCAAGTCTCAGAGACAAGAGGCAGTCCTCTTGGCAAATGGCAACAGCTTGCAACCTTATTTGCCAGCTACCCATTGACTTTGTGGGGAAACCAGCAGAGAAGATTGCAATATGATTGCAACATGATTGTGAGGTACTTGGCAGCTTTTGAAAATGCAAACCCCGATTGTGATCATATGACTACGGTGTGATAGTGCAATATTTTGTGATGGCAAAAAGTGGCTTATGAGCCATAAAGCATCATAATTCTAGACATGTAAACCAATGTCATAAGTTGAGGACTGCCTGTATACATTTTCTTGCTTGGAAAGACATTTTGTTTGGTATTAATTAGTTACACACCCAGGAAGATGTCATGTTTTAATCTCATTAATTATTCAGTCTCTAGATCAGTTATTATGAATACTTTGCCACTTTTCTGAATTTTACTGTTGCTTTGTCTCATAAAAGTTTTTTTTTTTCTTATTTTGGAATCATAATATTTTGCCTATTCCATAAATTGATAACAAGAGTCCAAGGCATCATACTGAATAAACAGGATGAAATGTAAACAGAAGCTCTTACTGGCAATTGATTCCCTTGTCTTGCTCAGGAGTATGGCATTGGTGAAAGGTTCTCTCATTCATTCTGTTTATTATTGTTTTCTGTTCCTATCCATTCATATTGTTTCTCTTTCAGCATGTTCCTAGATTCACTTTGTCCAAGTCAAAAATGTCTTCTCTATCCTCATTCATCCACTAAAATAGCTTCTGCTAAACCAAGGCTTTTGCCATAACCAGCATCCCTATGTACCATTTGTACATGTAAGGATGCAAGGATGTAAGCATATAAAGTATTGCTTCAAATTCATAGCATTTTAGTTCACTACCAGATTTTATTCTCAGGAGTTCTGGACATCTGGACGAGCGCTATCATTTTTCCTGCTGGCCAAAAGGATGCCCCAAAGGTATGTTCAGAACAAGATATTTTTCTTTGAAATGTATCTGGATATATCTACAGATCAAAGTCATTTGTAAAACACTATCCAGATGTATCTCTATTGGAATGTCATTGTTACTATGTTAAAATTTATCAGAAACATACTTAGAAAATTAGCTGGCTTGATGAGTCATAACACATAATAATCTCCTTTTAAAGCTACAACTAAAACTCCCATTTATTTCATTACTTTTCTCTGGCGTTATTTTTCAAGGTGAAAATATAATCAAGACTGGAAAGATTGAACTTCCCATCTGATTCTGCAATATGATTATTCAGGCATTTTTTTCAACAAAGCTGTTATTTGATTTCAGAATGCTTAGCTTTAGTATCCTGGTAAGAATGAGATCAAGAAGAGCTTAGATTAATTATAGAGTCTTTGCATTTGATATTTCCAAGGTAAACACATTTGCTAAGAAAGCTTTGAACTAATTAATTATCAGACCTAGAAATATTAGCAATTAAACATTTATCTCAAATCACGACATGAATGGGGGAATCAGAAATCACATTTTATCTATTATGTCAACCAAAAATAAAGAGCATAAAGCAAGAAGGGTCCTGATTGTTCACACCAAAAGCCAACCTAATCCAAGAGTTTGCTTTCCATAATAACAAAAATCAAAACTATTGCCAAGAATGTCTATATCCCACCTTTACGTTGTTCGCAGACTTCATCTGAGTCCCTAGGGGGAGAAGGGCGGTATATAAATTCAAATATAAATAAATAAAAAATACAGATCATTATCCCACCTCATTATTCCTTGTTTTCCATTCCTTTCTCTTCTTGCAACAAATCCAGGTCTGTGTTTGTGGAAGGAGAAAGAGAGCGAAAAAGAGAGAAAGGAAAGCGGAGAGAAAGAGAGAGAGAGAGTAGACACACACGCACACACACATGCACGCACACACAGACACAGACACAGACACACACACACAGACACACACACACACACACACACACACATACCCTGTTTTCCCCAAAATAAGACATCCCCTGACATATACCCGGGCTTTTGAGTGCATGGCAATAAGGCCAAGCGCTTATTTCAGGGTTAAAAAAAAATATAAGCAGGGTCTTATTTTCGGGAAAACACTGTGTGTATATGTATCATACAAAGAGACATTTGTGCCATTTTGACAGATCATTGCACTGAATTTGAAAAGCACAACTATCTTTGGTGCCTTTCTTAAGATTTAGATTTAGATGAGAGAATCAAGCTGGATTCCAATTCCATATGGGACACTAGTTTCAATAAATGTAAGTGGGTATCTGAAAATCAGCAATGTAGGATAACAAAAGGTTTTTGTTTTAAGCCAAAACTACAATAAGATTAATGATAATAGCTTCTATGGATTCTATTAGCAAACCATTCACAAACAACTGTTCATTGTACCAAGGAGGTGAAACTCCCATTTCACTCAAAAAACCCACACCCACTAATTTGTTATATGTGAAGCAACGTCAGTAAATTATTTACCCACAATCAGCAATATTAGAAAATGCATTAATCCTGGGACATGAATCAGTGATGTGACTCTTGGGAGAATTCAGAAGAACTGAAATAATTTGTGTTGTTTGTTGTAAGTTAAGCATTTACTTCTTGGCTTCCTGAACACAGTGTACAATATGTTTGTAATTTAGCAACCCTCCGCATCATTTCTGCATTTTATTCCCCTAGGAAAAGTTTTGAGTGTAAGAATTTTTATATTTTAAGCATTAGTAGTTTTAAGAAATGTGTGGACATCATGGTCCAGAGTAATAATAAATTTCATCTGATAGCCATCAGATCTTATTGACTCTGGGTAACTGCTTGAAATGAAGCATGTGATGGGAAGGCATTATAATAGGCACACAAAGCAATCATGCACTTAGTTGTTTTCCTGGGTCATTAATCAGGGCACTAACTTTTCTTAGCAATTTGATGGTATTTAATGACTTACTTTCATAGCTGATTTAAAGAACAATTATTTACATATTGTTAAATTTGGAAGCTACCAAATTCCCAGATGACTTTGGGAAGCTTTCCTCTCATTTTTGACCCTGCTGTACCAAGTTATTATCATCTACAAATACTAATATTACCATTTAATTCATGTGGCTATGGAAGATATGTCAATCATATCTTGATATCAATCATATCAATGATTCTTGATGAATGTATCTTATATTTTATGTACGCTTAGAGCCTATGCACCAAGACAAATTC